TTAATTGGTCTATGAGGTAGTGTGTGCAGTGCCGTATCGTCAGTGAAAAAATACTTTTTCAAAGTATATATTTATAAATAAAGTCGCAACATTTTAAAGTGAAATGAAACGTGGTCTATGTGTGCGACGTTTAAATCGGTGTATTCAGGTCGGAGGAAGACATTTTGAACAATTGTTGTGGTGATATCATGTGCGAAAGGCAAAAATTAAATGCATTAAATTCTATTTAGGCAATTCATCGTCTTTCCAAATTTTAACGCGTCTTAGGGCAGTACTGCCGTAGTGACACTTTTCCGGACACGCGTCCCTATACTCATACACTGAATAACCCCTAGAAGTTTGATCCCTTAGTTCTGAAACACCCTGTATCTTTCGCTGGTCCATTTTGACTCGACTGAAGCGAGAATGGCCAGGTGCTTGAAGTGGAGGTCCCAGTTATGAGGGGTGACCTCACATATAGTGGCTTCATAACCAGTTGTAGGCGAAGTTGAACTTAAAGGCGATGGCGCTGCCAAGGCACATGCATGGGTGAAGTGATAGGCCAAGCAACGCAAAGTCAAAGACTAAGGCAAAGGGAAAGGGAAAGAGAAAGAGAAATGGAAAGAGAAAGAGAAAGGGAAAGAGAAAGAGAAAGTGGGTGGCCCCAATCTGAAAAAGAACCGTGTGCATTAGCAACGTGCCCTAATGGCCAAGGCATTTCCAATCTCAGTCTGCCTCAAAAGAGAACCAACGATTTTCTAGGTTAGAATTACATTACATAGTTTGATAAAATCAAACCGAAAATTGGAAATGCCTTTAATAAAATAAAATCAAGAAATAGCAAAAAAAAAGCGTAAAACAAGATGGTGGTCATCAAAAATTTCTCCACATGCTTCTGATATAAAAACACAAATATCGAATATTCATAATCAACGTACTTATAATTTCACTGAACTATGAATATATATACGCACACAGAGGTAAAATCGATGTGGATCGATTTCCACCTCGATTTGATTAAAGTTATGGCGAATGATCGAAGTAGTCGAAAATGACGTTCGATTAATATTTTAAAATCGTACAAGAAATAAACCACTTACATATCGATTATCTATAAACTACAGGCAGATTCAGCAATAAAACAGTATAGTATTATAAAACTCACCATTTTGTCCTATACGGACACACATTCTATAAAATTCTAGCACATGGTGCTATATGACCTTGTGCTACAGAGAAGAAAATTTTTAGCTCTTGTTCGATCGGCGGCTCAAGTGAAAAGGAAGCGCGAGGAAGATCGCAGATCAGGAACTCCGCATCAAGCGCTCCAAGCGGAAAATTTTCCAAGCAAAAAAGCTAGAGATGGGATTAATGAAATGATAATCGTTAGGATCAAGTACTCCACTTTCTTCATACAAGGCCTTTGAGTGATATGTATAATAACACTTTTAAGGTAGATATTTGCTACACCACCTCAAGCGATAACACCATACTAAACAAGTTAGTGAGCGAGGGAATAGTACAATCTTTTTAAATGGTTGACATTACAAAAGTCTCTACATATTTTAAAAACTCCCAGTAGTCCTCTTAGTTTTTTTGTTAAGTTGGCAGTTGGCATTATAGAGATATTGTTGGCATAAGTCGTGAAAGGTACATAAAAAGCTTTTGTATAGTTGATGGTCTGGAGTTTAGATTTGAAGAACTAGAATATAAATTTTATATCTATTTCAGCTTTTATATACATAAAAATGGCTGTATCGTCAGTAAAGCTAATAATTCGTCCTGCAACTTCAGAATGAAATAGATCGTTGGTGTACAGTGTGAATAAAAGGGATCCTAGGACAGAAGTCTGTGGTATACTCCACAATACATAGTTCTTTCTCGGCTAATCACACCATAATTTTTATCAATTTGCTTCCTTCATGTAATATAAGTTTTTAAGAGATTGCAAATACTCCCTCTGAATCCTAGATTTTCTAATGTCTGTAGTAAATCTTTGTGACCAACCATATCGAAGGCCATCGTCAGATCTATAAATAAGCAAAGGGCTGGGCTGTTTCCATCAAGTAAGCGGTTTTTGTTAGTTTCACAATCACATCTTCAATAGATTTTCGTGTCTTAAAACCATATTGATGGCTTGATATGTTTTATTCCTCGTTATAAAGCTCCAAATCCCTTCCTTTAGTAATGTGACGAAAATCTTCAATACTGCTGTCAGTACTGAGATGGGCCTATAATTACCGAGCAGCTCCGTATTTACAGACCTGTAGATTGGTTAAACAACTGCTATTTTCAGGCAGGCTGAAAATCCTCATTTTTTTCAATACACAAGTTGAAGATATAACCGTGATATACTAACGCCTCAATCCGAAAGTAGACAGGGAAGAAAGTGCATGCATAGTTCTGGATATAAAATGGAAAATACTTCACTTGGTCGTTTGTCTCGTTATCCTACCAGTATTTCTGTTACTGGATGTGGAATTTGTCATAGAAGACTTGATTTTGTGCTTTGTGCGGTTTTATCAGTCTTCTTGTTGTTATTTCCTTCCTTTACGTTTCCAGCATCGTCCTTTGTTATCACTTTATTGGAATTTTGTGGACAGATCGGTGCCTGTTTTGTTGAAGAATTGTGGTCTCCTTCACTTCTGCAGTAGGCGTTGCTACATCATAGTTACTATCTTCGAAGAAAGTTTGGCTTATGCAAGGACTTGCAGGTGCACTATGATGCTTTACCTGGGGATCGGATAGATCATTTTCAGATTCATTCTCTGGTAAATGATCGTTTTCACTTTCATCATACATTTTCCTCTGGCGATTTTCATATGCTTATACAGTTGTTTTCGGACCTGAAGATCGTAGCTCGGATCATCAGAAACTTGTATACTCGTATTATAACCCTTCAGCTTCATTGCATTTCTTATTCACATTTTTCTTTATCCAAGTTACAAACTCGATTTTTAAGGCCACTTGTCATCTACTTTTTTTTATTTTACTAACGCTATTTATATCTTTCTTAATTAGATTGAGCTGTACGTACTGATTGATCATATTCAGCAGATGGAGTTATACCGAACAGCATTATTTGCGTTCAGTAGTTATTAGTACTGACGACCGATTTTTCGACCAGTCTGTCTGGCCTATTACGCATCTGGTTTTTGTAGTCTTCTTTGTTTCTGGTGTTATTTATCTTGTTTTTATCCACTTTTCTGCTCCGATCACCAAATAAAAATAATTAGTAACACTGATTAACACATACTTCCCACATATAAAAATTATGCGACTGTCTTGCAAACACTATAACGCTTGGTACGAAGCTGTGTATTAACTCTAATTTTATCCACTCAATCTACGAGTTTCTCACGAGAGCGTGATATAGAGGCATTGTAGTAAATAGAACATACATACTAGTTTACAAATTCGACTCCTGGAATTTTCTGGAAAAACATAAATAACACTCTGAATTTTCACAAATAGTAACAAAAGTGACGGGAAAATGTATTTTCTGATCGTATTCTTTTCTGTTACGACATTTGCTACTGCCTATATTACTTGGGTTAAAAAGTTTAAGTATCGTGCATATCTTAAGGGGCTTATAGGGCCTAAGCCAGATCCTATTCTTGGGAATGCCTGGGATTTTACCGAGGGCACCAAAGGTGAGTTAACGTTATTTAATAGTCTTAGTCATTTAAGATTCAAGAAACAGAAAAAACGAGATATTTTAATATATCTCATAAACTACTAATTTACGAAATAGGCGACTACAGAAAAATTAACCTTATTTTCATCCCTTAATATGATGAAATTAAAAGAGGTGGTTTCCATTTGAAAAAATGGACATTTCGAGTTTTCTAAAATTCTCTTTTTTGACCATCATGTACTATTGGTTATCCAAATATGGAACAAAATCTACCAAAATACTGTATGAAATCAGTAAAAATATACAGCAAGCCAAAAATACGAGGAAAAATTGTTCTAGTTGTAGTATTTGGTTTTTTTTACATATCATTTGATATATTTCAAAGATTTCGGTATATACATGAAATATATTTGGAAAATATAGAAATATATTTAGAATCTCGCATGGAATCCAAAAATTGAGTAATATACAGGATCTTCTATTTGCAATAAGCAAGTATCTACTTATAGTGCAACTGGAAGCAGACTTTCATGATCATGATGTTATCAAAATCGTAAACGTCTCGAGGTACGAACATAACGTTTTACTTTTTCAATACATCATACTTTTTTCAAAATTTTTGAGTGGCGGACCCATATTGAAAGGAATGTCATTTTGACAATAAAAAACTCTCAACTATCTGTTTTGTGCAATTTTGAGGAAAGGACACTGGGCACAATCCGCCCCGGTAGTGAAATTTTAGTTGCACAAACAAAATTCGTGTTTAACTATTTAGTTGGATCCCATCTTTCATTTTATGTAGATATTTCCTCAAAGAACAATGGGAGTAATATATTAAATGTTGTGGAACAGTATGAATTGTTATGGGACAAATGCCAAACAATTATTCAGAGAAAACTATCTGCTGCATCGAGAGACTGATCTAAAGTATTTAATATTATACAGGGTATTTCATCGTACAGGGGTACCAAAGTTTCATTATTTTTAAAAATAATCTAAAAAAATAATACGTATTATATGCTATATTTTATACTACATTTAGATACATCACACCAAAGGGCTGTGACGATTATTTGTATTTTCTAAAGAAAAAACTCGACACTGAATATATTCATTTTCAGAAGACATAAGCTTGGAACATTTTTCGTCAACGTAAATGGATCAAATAAGTTAGAGTTATTTGAAACAAAATCTTTGAGCATAATTTTCACCAATTTCCAGAAGTTTGATTAATTTGAAGCTTCGCACACGTATCAAGGACCGATGACAATGTAATAATTTGATAACAGTTCTCCAATATCCTTAAAAATAATCTGTAAAAAGCAGATATGTTAATAAAAAGTCACGGATTTCAAATGCCGCTTTACGAATGGTGAAAGTACAATCCTCTGTAGCTCAGTGGCAGAGCACTGGCTTTTTAAACCAGGAGTGTGAGTTCAATCCTCACAGGAGGCAGATTGTGGTGTACTTTTTTATTTTTTTAATACGCTTTTATTAACTTGACCTGTATGGTATGTCTCTATGTATGTTGTAATCGAATCTTTGAGCATAATTTTCATCAAATTCTAGAAGTTTGATTAATGTGAAACTTCGCACACGTATCAAGGACCGATAACAATGCAATATCATGACACGCCCACAAAAAACTAATTGATAAATTGAACTAAAAATGAAAAATAAATAATAGTTAAAAAAATAAAAAAAACGCTTTTATAGCTTACCGAACTAAAAATTATAAAAATAATTTTTAATTACAAAGAGTTTATATTACAGTAGTAGATGGTCAAACAATCTATCATATTAGTGACCTCAAATAATATAATTTAAGTTATTAACAGACTGATTCAGTTCAGGGTAAAAAGCGTGGGGTGCATTTTAACTACATTTTCGTAACTCTCCTCTCATAGATAGTTGCCAATAGAAGGATTGTAACATTTCAAGCACCCCACGCTTTAAGAACTTAAATTTTATAATAATTTTATTTTGAGGTCATTAATTGTTATTGATTGTTCGACCATCTACTACATACTGTAATATAAACTCTTTGAAGTTAAAAATTATTTTCTAATTTTTAGTTTGATAAGCTATAAAAGCGTGTTTTTTAGTTTTTTTAAACTATTATTTATTTCGAAATAGTTTTGCGCAGTAATAAAGATGCTTTCTCGAGAAAGGTTTTCCAATGCAGCTGCTTAATTGAACACCCTGTAACTGTCGTTTCCCATATCCCACAACAATGTGCTGCACACACGATAAACTATAGATATAAGTCCATCACACTTCATTCGTGCACACCATTGAAAAATTCAGAATATAAAGCATACCATTAAAAATATTATATATTCATTGGTAGCCAGCTCAACAATATAACAGCCTATACATTATTGAATATTGTCACAAGGTTCCTCCGTATAGAAATCTATCTGTTTTCTTTAGCGCAGTAATAATGCTGCTTGCTCGGAAAAGTTTTGGGATGCAGCTGGCTAGCTCAACACTCTGTAATTTTTGTCTGGCATAACCTACAACAAGATATAAATCCTACCACATTTCGTTCGTGCACGCCATGAAAAAATTTACTATGCATTGCCCAGTGTCCTTTAGATACTTTCATATTTTCAACATATAAAGTCAAAACAATACAAGTTATTTTAAGACTCCCAACTTATGAATTACTTATTATAGTAATTCATAAATTTTCAACAGTTCTCTATAAGGCTTTTATAATCTTCATCTTTCTTGTTGCCCAAAAATCCTTACACTACATGTACAAAACACGTCCAAGTTGGCAATTCTTTTTCATTTAATTGTTCTTGAAAACGGAGATCATCTAGGAGCTTCCAATAAATATGCCGTCTGTTAATTTTGCATCACACAGTTGAGACAATATTTCTCTCAGGTACTGAAAACCACTACCTACTTTATCCATGACTTTGACAAAGTTTTTCATTAGTTCAAGCTTAATATGGACAGGCGGTAGCAGCACCTTTTTTGGGTTTGGGCATATTTAACATTTGAAGTACCAGGTTCAGAAGAAGTTCTGTGAGGCCAATCCTTTTTACTGTAGGGTTCTTTTGTTGCCCTACTGTCCCACAGACACAAAAAACAGCAATACTTTTTAAAACCCCTTTGAAGTCCTAGCAATTCACCTATAACTTTTAAATCTCCTCAGACGTCCCACTGATACTGTTCATACTTAACCCGATTTAATATGATTGCTAAGTTGTCATAGGTTTCTTTCATTGTCACTTAAAGGGCTAAAGGAAAGGATGGTTTTTTGTTTCCATTATGAATCAGAACTGCTTTTAGGCTGTATTTCGACGAATCTATGAATAAACGCCACTCGCTAGGACCATGTTCCATATTAAGCTCATTCATTAAACCATCAATATCACAACAGACACATAGTGACCCTTCCATTAAAAAAAAACTTGATAATATTACATTCCGTTTTCGGCAAAATGAAACACTTGCTTTTCTCTCTAACAAGTTCCACTGATGAAGTCTGGAACCAAGAAGTTTGGATTTTTGTCTTGACAATCCTAGGTCACGTACCAAGTCACTTAATTCATTCTGAGTTATTAAGTGAGGTTCACTGGTAGCAGTTGGTAAAAATGTTGGGTCACAACTGCTGTTCTCAGGATGTTGAGGATCAGATTCTGATGAAGAATTAGAAAAACCGGGAGACACGATGTCCAGGTTTAAAGGCGTTATCGGTACCGGTAGTTCCTGGCAATGAGGAACTGACCTTCGCGCAAATTTGGACACTCTATTTTGTCTCTATGCTTTTTTGAAATCCCTTCTGTTTTAGTGATGCAAACGTAGCAATCACTTACATGGTCAGGTTCTCTCCACACCATAGGAACAGCAAACGGCATAGAATATTTCCTGCGATACATCCACTGCACTAAGTTTACGTGACAACTCACACAACAAATATGAGAAGCCCAACCTTTATCTTGATCCCCAATTTGGCGCTTAAAATATAAAAACAGGCTTGTTTGACTTTCTCAGATATAGATCTAGCTTGCGACTTTATAATGAATCGTCCACATATAATAACAAAACTTATCAGCTGGATTTTTGCAACATCAACGACTAGAACTTGCCATTTTATATCAAAAGCAACTTAAACACTTGACTGTAGTGTACATGAGACAACAAACCAACTAAACTGCAGAAAACAATGAAACTCTTACAGGTTCGTACAATACTGTGATAATAACCCCCTGCGATCTTGTTGTACATACGTAGGTACTTGAAAATAGGACGTGGTAGGTCATTGCTGGGAAAACGCGTTTTAATAACTCCCTAAATGAAACGCAATTTACGTATTCTCATCCATGTTACCCAAATTATGTCGACTTGTGTAATTGGTTGATGTAAAAACTACTAAAGGTTGATTTTCACTATAAATTCCGTTCCATTCCGTAACCGCGTAAGGCTATTGCATGTGTATGCATATGATCCGTTCTGTTCACATACCGGCACCGGCCTACGTCCCTTCCATACCCATTCCTTCGTAACGTATTTTTGACGAACAAGTGGAAACGTCGGAAAGGATATGGCTAGCGTGAATTGAAAAGTCGTTCCATAAATGCATTCTCTAAATAATTTTTTTTTAAGTTCTGTTAATATGTGTCAGCGTTTCATTAACTTCGGAAATAATGTAACATATTCTCTATCAATGTTGCTTCAACATGTTGAGAATCCCAAAACGCCTTTTTCGTTTTCTTTTCAAACGTTCTTCCACGTCCAAAATAACAGCGGCGATAATTAAATTGTCTTCAGACCATATATTTCACAAAGTTTTGAACTACCTATAAGTTACATATACGAAAATACTGATTATGGAAATGCAACGTAAGGTATACACTGTGTATACTTACAATCAAATTGTATGGAACGTGCACGAAACTGATATGGAATGGAAACGAAATATACAGGGTGACTTCGAAGTTGAGTCATTTATTTTAACAGTGAGTAGGTATGATCGAAAGAAATGTTTTTTTCCTTTAACATTTTTCTGGTAAAATTAAAGTAACAAAGTTATAGCCCTTTAGAAGTTTGAGTACCGCCCTGTCTCAATAATAATATTATGTGCTCGTGTTTGGCAACAACGGATATAATCCGCCTTATCGGTTCATCGCATCGGAAACAAAAAAGCGAAAGAATTTGAAACGCTTATCACGGTGTTTTTACCACAATTTTATTCAGTTGTATTCAGTCAATGTGTCAGTCGGTAACGCGTGAGTCAATAGTGGTGTTTGTTGCGTGGCTCAAACGAAATAAAAAATGGCACATGTTTACGAAAATGCTGAACTTGTGGACATGATTCTTATTTACGGGGGGAGTCTTTACGAAATGCTGCCGCGGCATCACGGATTTATGCGGATTGGTTTCCCAATCGAGTGCAACCAACCCCTCGTGCCTTTGTTAATGTAGTACAAAGGGCTCGTGAATCAGGTGACTTGAGACCTCACTGGGGAGGGCATGCCGGTGCTCCAACACCGCACGATCAAATACAGGTCCGCACTGAAATACTTGTCGGGAGGATACTTTATAAAACAAGGTAACATTTTTTTTTATTTTTTTTTTATTTTTACACACATATTTACAGTCATTATCTGAAAATTAATGACTCAACTTCAAAGTCTGTATAGAGAGAATCAACCTTAATACAGCTTTCGTCCGTCCGACCACAGACGATCTATCATGGACAGCTGTTTCGTACTATTTGACAACTCCTCAGCATGATGTACGCTTGGTCTCGGTGGCCCCCGAACGAAATTGAGCAACTCTACTCTATTTAGGCCAAAGAGTAGCAAGGAGACAATAATCAAGGTTTTTGAACCCCTTCGTGTTATCTAAATTAGAGTGTGCAAGGATAGTCTGGAACCCCTGCTGTGACCGCATGTGACTCTTTTGTTAGTTTAGAATGATTAGATAATAAACTGATGGACAGTTGCTTTGCAACATGGAATTTTTACCCAAATTCAAATCTCGATATTTTCGGAACTGAAAGAGTTATCGATTTGCGGTATTGGGGAGGTTTTTGACCAACTCTTTGAGGTATATGTCTTCTATTTATCCTCTTATAGGTGAGCAAAGGAAGTCAGGTTATTTAGCAAAGTTTGGGGCTGTCAGATTCTCAATTTTTGATCTCGGGAATTTTTCTACGCATCTCTTTGATCGTTGGACTATCCTAAAAAAGAAATTTATCAATTTTTTCGAAAGTTGGCTATAACACAAATTATCGAGTTTTAAAGAAATGTTACATTTATCCCTAAAAAAGGACTTTTTTGGGGTTTTTCTTGAGAATGGGTATTTTCCGAATGTTATTGCCTCCAGTGGCGTGCAGTAAAAATTTTCTACTTTGACATTATGTAATTTGAACCAAATTTATAAATTTCACTATACAATTAAACAGCTTAATGAAGAAATCCAAGTTACTACTCTTA